GAATTACATACAAAAGTATAGAAAAGATGGGAATCACTCGACGAATTCTAAACCTGACTTAAACCTTTAGCAGGTGTTGATGCGTTTTGTTCAAATGAACAAAACGCCTTTTTACAAAATTGTAAAGCAGAATTATTAAGAAGAGTAGTAAATTTGAGAAAACATGCTGAAACAAAAAAGTACAAACAAAAAATTTAACCTCACATGATGAAGAATTCGTGTAATTTGCACAAACACGAGATTCTTCCAGAAGAACAATTACAATCTCACTAATCCGGATTTGATGGGACCAGACTGTCTGGATTAACCGGAAAGCTGGGTCTAGATTCGCGAGGGTAGTGTAATTTGAATAATTTGTATGGTTTATATTATATATACACACATCAAAAGTGTCTAGGGATCAACATATATTTTTGCAATAACTTTTCTCCTGATTGATATTAATTAAAATTTTCTTTAAGGATTCATCAAATAAAGTGTTTTCGTTTGTCACAGTAACGATAAACCAAGTCACCTTTGCATTAATAAAGAAATTTGCCATTTTCCTAATAAAGGGATTTTTGACATTTGAACCACTAACACAAAAGTTCGAAAAAAAGACTGAAATAACAGTTTTCTCTAAAATTTTATTGGGTAACTTAAACAATTAATAATCCGTATTTCTACCGCGAACACTAACAACACAAGAACATCGGTTTGGCATACTCAAAATGAGTTCATCCAAATCACGCTGTGGAATGGCCGCCCATGTTCGTTGCAACAACAAAAAAAGGTCTTCTTGCGACTGGATACCCTCCATATTCGGCAGAGCTCTTCTCTGTAGCATATCCCATGCATGCTCAATCGGGTTCAAGTCTGGCGACTGAGCAGGCCAGGGCAGGACATTGATGTTAGCTGCGGCGAGAGTCTGTCTTACAACTCTTGCGGTGTGCGGTCGTGCATTATCATGCATTAACTGAAATAAGGGACCGATTTGCACTTGTAGAGGAACGATGACGTCTGATACAATCGTCTCAGCATAAATTTGAGCGTTGAGGTTGCCTCTGATCCAAATCAACTCAGTTCTTCCGCCGATCCAAATACCCGCCCATACCATGATGGTTCCACCACTATAAGGATGGACTTCCTGGCAGGATTTTAATCGCTGTTGGCGTCCAGGGGTTCTCCAGTGTCGTATACGTCTTGTATCCGGTCTCATACCAAAACGAGACTCATCAGAAAAGCACACGAAACGCCATTGTTCTTCTGCCCAATTTCTGTGTTCAAGAGCCCATTGATATCGAATCCTACGATTGTGCATTGCTATAGGTGGTACCCGTAGCGGTCTTCGGGAATGAAGGTTCACTTCATGCAAGCGGTTTCTGACTGTTTGGTCGCTAATTAAGTTCCCTGAAGAGTGATGAAGCCTCACGGCTAACATCATGGCGGTTATTGTTGGAGCTCTTCGAGTTAAGATTTGAATGTATCGGTCTTGTCTCCGTGTGGTGCAGCGATACCGTCCTCCATGGCGCTCAGCCACGGTACCAGTGCTTCGGTATCGTGTCCAAAGTCTACTGATAACACTCTGACTTGTATTCAGAGCTAAAGCCACAGTACGTTGCCGGGAACCAGCTTCTATCATTCCCACGGCTCTGAGCATTTCTTCCCTGCTTAAATGACGTCGCCGCTCCATAATAACGTTGGTTTTAATCAGTAGTAGGGAAACAGTAGCACTAATAATGTCTTCAATGCGTTGTATGTTTTTATAGGGAAAATATTGACAGCTGATTTTCATCTTTTACTCGAATTTGATTCACAGTTCCTGATTCAAATTATGAAATGCACCAAAAAGGATCCATATAAATTTATAAAATCATAAATTTATTACAAAGCCACATCTCAATCTCAAGAAATCCGCATAAAAATGCTTGATCCCTAGACACTTTTGATGTGTGTACTTAGGAACAATACATTAATAATACAAATAAATACGGCGCTGGTGAATTCAGAATCTGAATGACCTAAAAATTCCGGTAAAGTGTCTGACTCCGAAACCTGCGCGGGCAACCAGTTGCCTGCTGCCACTATGGCCACCCTGCTTTAACTACACTGTTTATTTCTCGCGCATGTTTTCTGAGTCTAAATCTGAATCTGAGTGCACTGTGGCCGGCCGTACCCTTAAAGAGCAGTCGCGTTCTTCTTCAAATATTTATAGAGTTGCTAAAACCCCAAACTAAAAATTATTCATGTCATCTAAAATAAAAAGTGGGAAACCTTTGCACGGACAGATTCGCGAATTTGTTTACAATGTATATAAATATTGCATGAAAGAAAGCGAAATAAAAAAAGAAAGGATGATGTTGGCAGTAACTATTTTATGAAGATTCAAGAGCGAGTTGCGAGTGCTACTGGAATTTCAAGAAAAACCGGCAGAAATATATTAAATGAAGCTGATGAACGGGAACGAGAAGTACCCTGTAGATTTTGATTCCCGTGCGAGTTAAGATAATTTGCGGCACAAACGACAGTTTTATTTTATTGCTTCGGCTTAGAAGTTTGATTTTTTCACAGCTCCAAGGGACAGTAGAGATGAGTATTAGATATGAATTTCAGTTTGATACATCCATGCGTTCCTGAGAAAAACGGGTAGGCGTCGAGTTTAGCCTTGCACTACTCAACAGGCATACAAACGAAGGCATATTGAACCGCATTGTTACTTGCGATGAAAAATGGATACTTTCTGATATTTACCAGGATCTAATCTATTTGCTGCGCGATATTGCAAGCGCGCAGCAAGTAGATGAGATCTTGGTTCAGCACCTAAACAACGCTCCAAACGAAAACTGACCCCTAAAAAAGTGATGTGCACTGGCACTTGCAAGCTCTGACGCACTGACTGCTGAAAACACTGACTATTTACCTCCGGTCTCGGAGGGGAGTGATGTGGCGGCGACATCTATATGCCCCACATATAATCAGCATAAAGGTAACAGTCGCTCGCCTCCTCAAGAGATGGCGCTACCGGCGCTGCGTTCACAACGTATGGAAGCCTACATCGCGCAAGTGAAATTCAGAGGCTAACACTCCTTAAACATATATAATGTTTGATGATCTAGCGCCAATGTCATTCACCACAGCTTCATATCAAACGGGGTGGGCGGAACAATGACGGAGAAGCTCGCACATCACCAACCAGCTTTGGTCAATCGATCGGCTCTGCCCGACAACGCGCGACTTTATACTGCACAGTCTCACTGACTATCTCACTGTGCCCGGGTTGGCACGCTGACATAATCTAATCTTTCTTTCCCGTGATATCTGTGCGTGCTAGTTAGCTTTAATCTGTGATTTAATTGTTTAAACGCTTAAACTTAGTTTTATTGTTTAAACGCTTAAGCTTCAGTCACACACTGCCAATACTCGTTGCGAATGCCCACTTGCCGCGACTATTCGCTGTGTGTGACAGGGGTACTCGCAGCCAATAGTCATTCCGCTCAAGCGAGCTTCAGTAGAATACTTGCTGCGAGAGCATTCGCTACCACCAGTTCGCTGCCTGCCTGTCACACACAGCGAGTGCTGCACGCAAATTTCGACAGTCTGTAGGTATGAAAATTTTATTATGTTATAGTATTAACGAGCAGTATAAAGCAGCGCGCTGAGCGGAATGGCTATTCAGTGTTGTCATCTGTTAAACCAAAAAATCGAAGCGCGGTGAGTAAAAACTATATGCTTCAATCTAAGTCCAATAAACTTGCAGTAGGTAGTTTAATGAATAACTCAGTTATTAAGAAAAAGTAGATATATGAAAAACATTTAAAATTAATTAAAAATATTTTTATTACTTTTGTAACTTAACACTCATGTTATTACTCTACGAAAAGTAATGTAACTAAAAATAATATGCGTTCTATCACTTTATTAAAAGTAGTACAACTACATTTTACTCGTTAAAATTACCGATTCGTTTATTCACTGTAGAATTAAACTGAACATTAGAATAATAAACAAACAGCCCTCGGCCTCAAATTAGAAAACAAAATCTATAATCTGAGCGTACAGCGTCTGCGGTTCAGTAAAACGTTGCTACCGATCGAGAAGAAAGAAAAGATGAACCAAATGTATAGATATCCTTTGGAAACCTTAGAAGAGTTCGCCTTAAGAAGTTCGCGTAGTATTCACACACTCACAAAGATATCTTGGGAAATCCTCAACTCCGTTTCGTTAACGTTGTCATGCCAAGACATCTAAAACCCAACTAAAGCCTCTAAATTTTTAATCCATAACATTTAAAAAATCTGTATAAATTGTTAACTAAAATATGACATCTGTATCGGTAGCCTAAAATCTGTATAAATACAGATAAATCTGTGTATATGGCAACACTGTAGCTATATTGCTACGAGTAAAATTGAACATGTACAATTCAACTCGCAGCGAGTGAATCTATTCGTAGCTAATAGCCTGTTACAAACAGCGATTAGTCGCGGTGAGTAGGCAGCGAATGCACTCACAGCGACTATTCAATTCGCTATTTGTGACTGTGGACTGTGGCTTAATCCACAGATACAGCATATATTATTCATCATCATCATCATCATCATCAGCCTATTAATGTCCCCACTGCTGGGGCACAGGCCTTCCCTATGGATGGAATAGGGAGATTGGGCCATGACCCACCACGCGGGCCCAGTGCGGATTGGTGGGTGCTAACGACTGCAAATGCAGCCGGGACCAACGGCTTAACGTGCCTTCCGAAGCACGGAGGAGCTCGAGATAGTAAATTTTTGGTCACCCATCCAATGACCGACCACTGCGAAAGTTGCTCAACTTCAACGATCGCAGCCGAACGCGCTAACCACCTGCGCCATCGAGCTCCTCTGCGCCATCGAGCTCCTCGCATATATTATTATTCTGTAATAATAAACTAAAGAATTGGCTGTATGGGCACAGTGCCCTTTGCCTTGCTAGGATGGGTAAGAAATTAAAGAAAAAGAATTAATCCACAGAGTACCTCTATGCTTAATCTGTGACGGGTTTCCCGGTTTCCCGATGTTTTTGTATTCGAGTTGTTTAGTTTATTCTTTAATTATTTCGACATTGTTGCATTAGTACGTAAATTGACTGATACACTTACAAAAACAGCAACATGAAGCTAATTATACTAACGCTGTTTGTAATATCGTTTATACGGGGGAGTGAGTATTGTTTTAATTTTCCATTCAAATCGGGTGTGGTCATGTGTTGTTAATTCTTTTATTGTATTACTTTGTAATTTTTTGGTTAATTGTAAGCTGGTTGGTTGTTTTCTTCTTAAGTGACCGGTATTTTTTATTGGTAATTGGTGCCAGCTAACAGCTCTATGTTCTAGTAGACAGCAGCAATTTATTTTGGTCTTGTGTTTCCTTTAGTTCCAGTGTTTGATGGGTTAGGATAATTGGGTAATCCAGGTATCTCTGGCTGAACTCTACTCCCATTTAACATCAGGTTGCTGTACTCAGCACTAAAAACAAATTTAGCCCAGCAAATATCTGCTGTTTCTGAAATTTTTAGTACAAATCTTTAAAATGGTAGTATTTTATATGATTGTCTGAAAAGTAGAGTTCTGACTGATCTGATTCAGACTGAAAATGGGAATCTACATTATTTAAATATAAAAATTAAAAAAAAATGTGGAAGTTGGGTTTTTGCTTGTTATTTTATTCTCCTACTACTACGATGAAATGTAGTAGTTTTAAGACAAGAAGATGCTAAGATTTGTTTATGAATTAAAAAAAAACAAATAAACTGATGTTTGCCACTTTTTAGTTCTCAAACTGGAAATGTAAACTAAAACAACACAGAAATGATAATATCAATATAAAATATTTTTTTTAGATTTAGCAATATGGTGCTACCAGTGTACAGCAGCTACACCTGGCTGCACAGAACCGTTCAATTGGCGAGGTGTCGGCTACTTAGGCAACCCCTGTCCTGACCAGGATGATGTTTGCATCAAGTTGATTGAAACAAAAGGAGGTTAGTTGACCTTAAATTTAAGTTCTAGATTTTCTCTTGTAATAATAAAAACTGACTAATGTTATATTAAAAAAATTAAATGTTGTAATAAATACTTTGTAAAATATGTAATTAATTTGTGTTAGTGCCCCATCTATCGAGAAATTAAGCATTTTCTTATACAATTACGACAGTGCTTTTGTAGCAAAACTAGCATAATAAGCATGCATGCTTTATATTATCTTACCTTTAAAATAGTTTGATTAAAATTCCTTAGATGAAGCATGCAATCGCAAGTTCATTTATGAAACTTGGTGTCTAAGTAATAAGCTATTTTTTATTTACGAAAAATATAACTTTTATTAAAGTTTTATTTAAAATGATTAGTTTAATAATGTATTTAAACATAACGCACATTTTTTTGAAAAAAATTTAAGTAGTATAAAATTTTGAATTTTGACCTAGAGAGTTGAATTTTAATACAGGTGTTGTCTTTAAAAACATACCTAATTATGAAGGATTTTTACATGTTCTATTTTTGTAATTTTCACTTCTATCGCATGTAAACAGCATATGCCCATTTTTTTATTATGTTACAAGTAATTCTTATTTTATAAAAAATAAGACACAATAATCAGTTGCGTGCGGACAGCCGAGTAAAGAGTACGCCTAGTTGTGATTTTACGTGTATTCCATAGATTGTAAACCTTTTTTTCAATTTTCTACGTTATAATAATTTGGTATTTATTTAACTAAATTCAGTATGATTTGTTCAATGTGTAATAAACCATTCTCCGATCTCGTTCAATGCTCTGCTTGTGCAAAGCAATTGGACTTTGGTTGTGCTGGACTGACCGAGGCGGGTTGGAGAAGACTGGGTACGGACCGAAGATCTTCCTGGAGATGCCCATCATGTAGAACATCGAGCTCTGCTCCGCCCAGCCCCAACGAGCTAGCTTCGCCAGCAATTATACTTCAAGAAATTCGTGACTTGAAATTGCAATTGGTGGAGTTTGGTGACATTAAGGATAAATTAAAATGTCTCCCAAATTTACTAGAGGAAATAAAGTCCATGAAGGAAGATATAGCTGAGTTGAAAAAGTCCAGCAATTTCTCGTCCTCTCTGATTGATGAGCTGAACGCTAAGTCCACTACCACCGACAGCAGAGTGAATGATCTGGAATCAAAATTATCTGATTCGGCAGTCATTATTACCGACATGAAATTGCAGCTATATAATATTGAACAAAGATCTCGTCTAAACAATGTTGAGATTAAGGGTGTACCGCTTAAGAAGGAAGAAGATCTCTTCAAAATTATGGATGCTTTATGTACAAAAGCGGAGTACATTATACCAAAGACCCAGATTAATTACATTTCAAGAGTTCCGACTTATAATTCCAAAGAGAAATCAATAGTGATTAGTTTTATTAATCGATATATCAAGGAAGACTTTATTTCTAAAGCACGTGCACTGAAGGAATTGAAAGCTGAAGATATTGGATACCAGGGATCAGAGCAGCGTATTTTCGTAAATGATCATTTAAACTCGGAATCCAAATTGTTATTAAACAAAACTAAAATAGTTGCCAAAGAAAAACACTATAGCTACGTTTGGGTAAAGTTTGGTAAAATACATGTTAGAAAGAATGACAAATCTGCTGTATTTATAGTCAATAAATTGAGCGATTTAAACAAGTTTGTATAGGCTGTCATGAAGAAAGTATTGGACTATTCAATTTAATTTTTGTAACTTTATTTTTTCCACTTATTCACGAAAGTTATTATTGTTCACTTAAATATAACATCTTTAATTGTAATTTTATGTTTATCACACCTGGATTTCCACCTCTGCTGGGGACGTCTTGCCTTTGTTTACACTATGAACCCGTCTTTCTAAGTCAATCTAATAATTATATGTCGTTCTCGCTTACTCTTATTCAATTAGCGTGGCGTGCACAGCGCGCGTTTGCATACCATATTTTCTTGACTGCTTGCACATATAGATTAAATGGTCATTATTTTCTCTGCTCCGCGCTAAGAACATTATTCGTTTATGAAATGATTGGTGCTTGGCTGATTTCGTCAATTAATAGTGTTTTTATATTATTCCTCAACTTATTGAAAAAATCCTTTTTACTTAAAGATGTTTATATGTGTAATAATAATATTGGAGTGTATTATAGTATTTATGTGTCATATCAAATTAATTAATGGATATTTCTAAAAACCCTGCAATAATAAACACTAATTTGAATATTTACTATCAAAATGTAAGGGGATTGCGATCTAAAACTATGACTTTTTATAGAAATCTGTGCCTGCATTCGTATGACGTTATTATACTTACGGAAACGTGGTTGTTAGATAGTATTAGTGACGCGGAATTATTTGATAGTAGATATATAGTTTGGCGCCGGGATCGATGTTATGAGCTAACAAATCAAAGCCGTGGAGGCGGTGTGCTCATTGCAATACGGAAAGATCTAACTGTTACCCCACAATTTCGATTTAATTCTTCCGCTGAGGATCTTTGGGTATCATTGTCGATTAAACGAAGTAATTCAAATAGGTTTATAAATTTGTATCTGTGTGTAGTTTATTTATGCAAACAAAACATGGGTTATTCATTCTCTGAGCAGTTAAATAATTATTTGAATAAGCTTGGTGAAATTATCTTATCTAACCCCGACGATTTATTTCTTATTGTGGGTGATTTTAATATGAGTGGTATATCCTGGTTTTATAACAAAGATGGTTTTTATTCTGCGAGCAATGTAACTAGTATTGACGAGCAGTCATTAGTTGATGATTTATGTACTTACGACTTGTGCCAATACAATGGAATATTAAATAATTTTGGTAGGATTTTAGATCTCGTTATATCGAATACGACTGTTTTGGTAATGGATTGTTGTGACCCGTTAGTTCCGCTGGATCCTCACCACAAAGCACTTTTAATAAATTTCGAGATTCATAATTGCTCATATTTACAAAGGGCAACGAGACATAAACGTATTTTTAATAAGGGTGATTATAATGAAATTAACTTGCAAATTGAGCGTATTGATTGGCAAGCAGAATTCATGACCAAGGACATGAATGAAGCTGTTACTTTTTTCTATTCAACTATTAATAATCTAATCGCTAAGTATGTACCTATAAAAATTTGTCGCGATAGCAACTATCCCTCTTGGTTTTCAGCATCATTAAAAAAAGCTATTAAAGAAAAACATAAATTTTACACAAGATTTAAGATATATAAAAATTACTCTGATTTGTATACCTATAAATTATTAAGAGAAAGGGTGAAACGGTTAGAATCTGAGTGCTATCAAAGTTATATTTTATCTGTCGAAAATTCAATTAAAGATAATCCCAAATGTTTTTGGTCATTTGTTAAATCGCGGTATAAAACATCTGGAATACCTAATACTATGACTTATGGCGATGCTGTCGCTAGCGATGGTATTTCTATCGCAAATCTATTTTCTGACTTCTTTTATTCCACCTTTTTGCAGTCCACACCTGAAAAGTCCGGCTTGAATTGTGATTTTAGTGCATCGGCGCTGACGGATATTTCTAATATCCACATTGATGTTGATATGGTGAATAAATTGCTATTGTCCTTAGATATTAATAAGTCGGCAGGACCTGATAACTTGCCCCCTATATTTTTTGTTAAGTGCGCTAAATTTATTTCTGTGCCTGTCTATTTATTATTTGTAAAATCTATTTCTGAAAATAATATGCCCTTATTGTGGAAGACTGCATTTATAACGCCAATACATAAAAAGGGTCTGAAATCTGAGGTCACTAATTACAGGCCAGTTTCTAAGTTGTGCATTGTTGCCAAAGTATTTGAAAAAATTATTCACAACCAAATTTATGCAGCGTTGGAAAAATCTTTCATCGACTCTCAACACGGGTTTCTTCATGGTCGATCTACCGTCTCAAATTTAGTTTTATTTAATGAATTTATTACTGATAGAATGCAAAATAATATGCAGGTTGATGTAATTTATACAGATTACAGCAAATGTTTTGATAGGATACATCATGAAACATTGATTACTAAGTTAGAACGTATTGGAATTAGCGGTGATCTGCTGAGATGGTTTCAGTCCTATATTTCCAACAGGTCCCAGGCTGTAGTTATTAATAATTATATTTCTAGTTGGGTCATTGTACCTAGTGGAGTACCCCAAGGTTCACTTTTGGGTCCACTTTTATTTTTGATTTTTATAAATGACATTGAATCTTGTTTTCACCACTCCAGATCACTTTGTTTTGCAGATGACATGAAAATTTTTAAATCTATATCATCGCTAGCTGATGTATTAGATCTTCAGACAGATTTAAAGCGTCTTGAAAATTACTGTAAATTAAATAAACTAGATCTCAATCCCGCTAAATGTTCTGTTGTGACTTATACTCGTAAATCTATTATAATTCCATCCGATTATAGATTTAAAAATCAGAGTATACAAAGACTTACTGTTACATGTGACCTTGGAATTTCTCATGACTCAAAGCTCCTCTTTGATAAACATATAGATAGTATTGTGAAAAAAGCTTCAAGGGCTCTCGGATTTGTTATGCGCACTTCAGCTTGTTTCAATGACATCAAAACGATAAAAATTCTGTACTGCACTTACGTTAGAAGCATACTGGAGTATGGATCCGAAATCTGGAATCCACGATACAACAAATACATTAACCGCATCGAGCGACTACAGGAAAAATTTGTGAAATTCTTGTGCTTTCGTCTGAAAATGCCCTACACTTCCACGAATTACTTAAGTTTATGTTCCCGATTTCACCTTCTTCCTTTATACAAACGGCGTGAACTAACTGACGTAGTATATTTGCTAAAAATTATATCAAATAAAATTAACTCCCCTGAACTTATTTCTAAACTAAACTTCAATGTCCCATCGAAGTCAGCAAGGCACTATATCCCAATTAGTATACCATTAGTTTCCACAAATTATCGACAAAATGCATTCTTGTTGCGAGCGAGCATTGCACTGAACGAATTTTGCAAGTCTAGAAAAGACTTTGATATATTCAATTCTGGTGTAGCAACTGCAAGGCGTCTTCTATGCAGTGAATTTTTTGAACGAGTATTATGATAGTATCTATTCACTAACAATTGTGAACTTAAACTAAATAATAACATTAATTTGCTATTAATAAAAGAACATTGTTTAAGATTGTTAAGAGGGCGAATTGTCTTTATTATGTAGACTAATCATATTATTTTGTCCGTACGTTTTTAATTTTATATGTTAAAGTATAAGGATTACTGTTTTTTAAACGTGGAGACCTGTAATTGGCCTTCTGTTACTAATTTTTCCTCAACTATATCTGTTTTATGAGCTGTTGGTCTCCCAAAAATTAAATAAATAAATAAATAAATAAATAAATAATAATCAGAAAGATTATTATAGGTATTTTTTTGATAATCATTGACAAAGAGGGAAATCAATAAATATTCAATTTAAAAGTTTATTATTATTTTACTTGAATTTTCAGCACAGCGAGTTATTACAAGAGACTGCTTAAGTAATTTTAAGGCATTCCGTACTGACATTCCTGCAGACACATACGAAGGTTGCAGGCCTGCTGCTAAAGATGTAAACCTTGCTAACTATGTGAATAATACTATTAAGGAGCTAGACATCAAAAGGTACATTATATACTTAACTATTTTAGAGGCTGGACGAGTGAAAGTTGATTACTGTAACTATCCTTTGGTAAACAGTAAGAGGCACATAAATCAGCAAACTATAAAGTTTAGAAATTACATCAGACTCAGGCCCCTTTCAACTCGTGGGTTATGGGTTTATAAAAAAGAAGATATGTTAGGAATAATTTTTATATCCTATACCTGACTAGGTATGAGATACTTCCCATATCACAGGCCTTTCTGTGCTTACTTTGGGAATAGGCCTATTGGTGTGTGTAAGATTTTTTTTAATCTAATGATTAATGACTACCTCCGTGGCCAAGTGGTTTGTACGCCAGGTTTCATGGTGTCGCCGAGTCGAGAGGTCCCGGGTTCGAATCCCGGTGGGGGCAGATGTTTGAATGATGAATTGTAGCATCCATGACTGTTTAATATGTATTTCTATATAAATATACTTGTATTTGTATGAGTAAATGTATTATATCCGTTACCCTACTATCCCATAACACAAGAATTACAGTGCTTACTTTGGGGCAAGGCTAATTGGTGTGTGTTCAAAAAATGAATATTATTACTTATTTATCAAAAAAAAAAGTTATTTAAGGGTTCTGAGTAGCATTGTATTCTTTATTATAAATCTTACTGCTGAAATCACACATTAGGCCTGAGATTTTGTACATCACAATAATAACTGATAGCCTGCTACAGTTTCTAGTCCATAGACTCCTACAATCTTCACGGGAAAAATTAGCGACTGTAATTTATTTTTTCTTTGGTTTTAAGTTTTAACAATATCGAATCTAAAATAAAAAAAATTGTTTCAGGGATTGGTATGATGAGACAATATGGTGTTTCTGCTTCCTTGATCACAGGTGTAACAGTGCATCGACGTCATATACATCAATGGCGTTGCTAATATGTGCGACCTTGCTCTTATTTAAAAACTCACCATTGTTTTGATATCCTGTGTTAGACTGAATTATCAAGAATCTCATCAATAGTCAACAAAATGCAGGTACCTTCACTTTGTCGACAGTGATGATTAAGAGTAAAAAAAAGAAATGTAGTAGTCATTAAGTAGTACAATAGGGACTATTAGGGTGTACGCTGCCTTAAGCAACATCCACTTTGTGCTCCCGCTAAAGACAGCGCAAGCCCGTACCCCAGGAATAATATTGATAGTTAAATATCCAGATTATTCAAACTCAAGTGATAGATATTTAAGGAACATTTTTGTGCATATGTTGCAGAATGATTTGGTAAATCCAATTTTAGCGAAAATCCTAGAGATTTTGGAAATATGTACGTGGATAATTAGACAACGGTGAAGACATTCTCAATCTTACTGAAAAAAGGTAGGATTTTTGCCAAAACTCGAGTCGCTTCAGTAAGATTGCGAAAAGAATTGTTGGCTTATTATAATTATTCTTGGGTTCACACTAGGTTTGGTTAGTGTCGTGAAAATGACTGGCGAAGCGCCAGAAAAAAACTATATTAATCTGCAAGAAAACTGCAGCTCTGGCTTTGATATTGGATGGATGGACTAACAGCATTGGTAACGGTGTTTTGATTGCCACTAAGCTAAAAACTTTTTTTTAAAACTATATATAGTGTTTCCGGCACTATAAGAAACTGCTACCTTTTTCAGTGAAAAATTAATTCACATCCTTACGGAAATTGGCCCTGCTAAATTAGTCGCAATTATCACAGACAATGCTGCCAACATTAAAACAGCCTGGAGGATTGTCACAGTATAATAGCCCGATATTTCTTGCGTAGCATGCGTTATTTAAACTTTGATTTGTTAGGATGTTTTAATATAGCCCTTTTTGAGGATATCCTAGAAAATGTCATTGCAATTATCTAACACAAAAAAGTCGTATGGTCTCTGAGCGTTTTTTAAAAAATGACAACGGAAAAGTCTTGTGTACATTTAAATTGAATTTTGAGACGAAACGCAGTGGGGCCTCATTTACGCTACAATCGTTCAAGGAAAATTGACAGGCTTTCGAGATGATGTCAATATTACCCGCAGTGAACATCACGCCACAAATTAAATACTTTATTTTGGACTAAGTATCAGTCATGGGCCAAAGTGGAAGGGCTGTTATAGTTCTACAACCAATGGCCAAAGTTATCTTTATATTTTAAAGGGACAATGTTTTGCTTAATCAAACTGTAACTCAGCAATTGCAGTTAACAAGTTTTTTAAATGAAGAGGATGAAAATGTGGTAATGGCTGCTATCGAAAAACGCAAAAAAAAAGTTTATTGCGGCATCCCATTTGGATCCGCGATGTTGCGACGTCCACCTAACTGATAACGAGGTAGGTAGGCTAGGCTTCTGAGTACCTACTTGCGTCAAGCTGCTACTGCTTAAGGCGTCGGTACAGGAAAAGTCATCAAAAATATGGCAGAATTTAAACTTAAAGAAAACTTATGAAGGGAGCAAAGTCATGTGGGTTCCAGTGAATAACCTTGAGCCAAGATTATGGGTGGAGAGCATTTGATAGTAACCAAGATGTTGCGAGTACAGCTATAATAAATCTTAGTGTCTCGCCATCGTCATCATCTGCTATTGAACGTAATGAAGAGAGTGCTGGTACATTTATTCACAGTTCTGAAAACGATCTAAATGATAGTGACCAATCTGAAAATGGGAGTGTTTAAGAACCAAAATGCCCACCGAGTCTCGAAAGGACTACTTCGCAAAACGACCACTTATTTGTTTCTTAGGTTTTCACGCACACTACTCATTAAATAAAACAAGTTTCAATGGTATACATGCACTGATTTATTTATTTATTGACGACCACTTAGCTAAATGAATACTTAGCATAATGCCTAATTTGCTTTAAGGATCAATTCGCAGAATGGCTACTTAGCTAAAGGAGTTATTCGCGCAAGGAATAACACCCTAAATGACTACGGAAAGTGAGTTTAAATAAAATAACCCCATTTATATTCATTGGTAATATTTACTGCTATTTTTTTTGGTCTTGAACAGAATCCATAATATACATGATACAATATTAAAACTGAAGTAACCCTTAAAAATAAATACTTAAACATAAAGTGGATTCAATAAAACATAATTACATGTTTTCAATCACAACAGCCGCTGTTTATTCGCTAACTTTGATATTTACAGTGTGTAACTAAAAAGGAAAATTGCATATCCATCAATGCTTTTCAGAACAAGTATCTTAATGGCGTTATAATAAAGCAGTAGTGGATCACTAAATAGCTCGGTGATTATCACTTCCATGTGTCAAAAGCAGTTAGCGAATAGGCCTACTGGCCACTGATGACAGCGAAACAGCTGGTTACCAGCTTGCTAACTACGATAACAACCGGCTTCACACCTGTGGTCATGGTACGATTGTTAAGCATTAAAGTGAATTTTGTATAAGTAGGTGTAAGAGATGAAACAACTTTACTAGTGTTTTATAATTTAATATTATAAGATAATTGTATAACATTTCTTCAGTTTAGCTACTTATTTGTTATTATGTTACTGAGAAGTTTGTTATCAACTGTATAATAATATACTTATGAATCATTATTGATTAAAAATAATGAAATAATAAATAATAATCTTCATCATAAAGCAAAAAATCTTAGTTTTAAGGGGTAACAATTATATTTTGTACTGTTTCCTACCCATAGTAAGGGAAAATAATTCCGTCCAATATAGAATATAATTAAATTATAATTAGCTTTAAGAGTAATACTAAACTGACAATTGTAAAAGACGTGCCTTAGGAAAGTTTTAATAAGTATGCAAGACTTAAAAACATAATAATGTTGATGAGGTCGTGAATGTGGTCTATTTTTTTTTAAATCTACAAAAGGCTGTTTTTTATATTCACTATATTAATATTTAATATTATTATTATTTAATATTTTAATTTTTCAGTACAATACCTTTCTCATCTTTGTTACCATGTTAATAAGCTTATGGAACAATTGTCGCACCTATGAAATTCAAAATGACATATTATTTGAAATCATGTACAGAAATACAGAATAAATTATATTTTGATAAACCACACTTTCAATTTTTTTTTATCTTGCATCTATGATACAGTAAAGAAATTATCTTATTCTGGTTCAATGGGAAATTTGCGCGGGTAAGTAGGGGAGACCTAGGAGAGTTGTGATAATTTTTAATTTCAGAGATACTTCTCTGAGCGAGATACTTCTCGCTCAAGAAACATTTTACATGGGTTATAATATATAGCACCATTTAGTCCGGTCAAATTAGACAGAAAACTAAGAGTGAAGGTGCATAAATTCACATTAAGCTGAAAGTAAGTACAATTGTTCAAAACATAATTAAAAATTACATATCAAAATTCCCCATGCAATTCATCTATTCGAGAGCAGGAGATGGCTCGCGGGCCGTAGTTTGCCCATCCCTGTAAATAAACACTCGCATTGTTCGCTCTCGTCACGTCACTGCGGTGCACACGCAACTGTTGTAGTACAATTGAACCGAGGCACGGTAATATATATAATATTACCGTGACCGAGGCGAGCAGGTACCTAGCGCGTAGGGCTCGCTTTTCGACCGTTCGTTTGAAGTCGGACTACTGTAGATATCAGTACCCCTAGAATGAAACAATATCGAATTCGAATAGTTTGCGAGCCCAAAAATGCCATCTCAAATTGTGTATGGAAACTTGAACAGCAGCGCCAAAAAGGACATAACGAGAAGTAAAAATCAGTAGGTACACATTTGACAATGACATTTTGGACTCGCAAACTATTCGAATTCGATATTGGTTCGTGCTAAGGATACAACAGTACGGTGTTTAAAGCTACAAAAGAGCGTTGTTGCCATCTCATTAATTTAGTTAATAGATTTAGTTAGCGAGAAATCGTGTCTCTCTGTCACCCACAACTCTCCTAGGTCTCTCGTACGATACTTTAGTGAGCCTGTGTTGTCACGGGCGGCCTTGCCGCGCAGGGTTGCCAATCGTATGAGAACTTTACCGTTTGAGATTAAGCAGTCTCTATCCATGATATGAGATAAATAGAAATCTCGTACACTTAGATATGCCATTTGAACAACGTTGACTACTTTTGTCATGTACACAAACCAAAAATATTATCAGAAAGTAAATAAATGTCCAGTCTACAAAGGATCGACTAACTAAGCACAGATTCATTATGCCATCACAAAGTGTACGAAATTTCTATTTAGCTCGTATCATGTATAGAGACTGCATAATCTCAAACTTAGCAGTTAGACTTCTCATACGTTTGGCCAACCCTGCGTGGCACGGCCGCGCTCGCTACAGCACAGGCCGTCGGACAGCACCTTTAGGCAACAGCAGTAAATTTATAATTTCCTGTCTGTATGTAATTATTTTTGAACATATGTACGGATAATTTTATTGCTGCATTTACAAATAATTTAATTGAAATAAAGAGACAAGAAAATTGATAGTCACGTTGAATATTACGAGCACTAGTCTCGCATTTATATCCCACATGTCGTATACTGAAAAACGTGGTGGTGTTTCGTCAATCAATTTATACATTTTCTTCGCTTTTCCTCTCAATGAGCCTGAAAAAATAGACTGCTAATAATATGCAATATCTTAGGAGCAGAATAGAAGACATATTTAGATTTAAAATGTCGATAAACACACGTCAACTTCATAGTATTTATGTATACGCTCATAACTTATATTCATTATGTCAAAACCTTCTTTTCTCAGTAAATGAATTGTATTATTTCTTTTGAGAAATAATATTGTTCAACCACATAGAGAACGTTATGTTAATGCAGCGTTTCCACGAGCAAGCATTTGCTCGCTCAGTAAATGGAAAAAACAGAGCGAGCGAACGAGTTTGTACAACGATGTTTGACTGGTCTCAAGGAACGAATGCTCTCTTCAATAATCATAATACCTAATCATAATCAAAATCATTTGTTCAGTTTAGGCTTTATAAGCACTCATGAATACGATCTAGATAGTCTACGATAGTCTAGATCTAGAAGCTACGCCATCGGTTTGTAAATCTAGGGCGGGAGACCTTGTACTGAGAAGAACTGACAAGAAACTCAGCAAGGGCTGCTATTTTCTCCCTGTTTTATTATTTACAGAGTCGTCAAATTTAAAATAGACTTCAGATATGATTCATGAAGTCACCTTTAATTACATAATGATTAAATATAGTACCTACCTACATTAACTGTTGTCCCGCTTTTTGATTACTGTTTCATACAGTATAAATATAAATAGTGCTATTTATCTTAATCAACGGAAATAACGCAACATTTGAGCAAACAACATATGTTTGCTCGCTCGGAACTGTTCTAGTATTATGTGGAAACGCAGCTTTATACCTTTTTGGTAAGTAGGTATTTGAAGCTTCGGGCTCTAAATACTTCTTAAAAATTTCTTTCTCCTATTATAATAGAACATTAGTTCAGTATTAACAGAACTTTATACGATTATTATATGATTCGATTGTGAGAGATGTAATCGAGAAAATAATTTTAGGGTTCATGGACCAGGGCGGAGACCTCTACATTTAATTTTTTGCTAATATGTTTCATTTCATACTTATTTGGGAAAGAGATTGACATACATTTCATTGTCTTTTTCAGACTTTATTTGTTTTGTGAAAATGTCACTACGACGTAGGTACTTTTTACGGATTGCCAGAGATGGATGGAAGGACAGCCCACGGTGGTTTTGCCTATTGGGAGCCTAGCGTCACTCTCTATTATTAGGAACATTTTGACTTACTAGAGGGCGCTAAGTTAATGATTGCACTGTGCAAAACTTTGGGAACAAAACCAATATTTTTTTTCGTTCTCGATTTCGGTTAACCAAAAACTGATTTTTTTCCCGGTTTGATGCCCTGTGTATAATAATAAACATTAAAAATTAAAGTAGTTTTTTTTAATGTTATCCTGGGGGCGGCCATACAGACTGGCACGCAGGCGGCCATATACCCAGGCACGGCCCTGATTGCACACGAGCACTAAAAGGGCCAGATGAGTGACGCCTGTGAGGACAGTGGAGTCCGGAGACCTAATAATAGGTTTCTGCTGTTCCATCTATGTGGAAGGTTCATAAAGTTAAAATAGATGCCAACTTACCTTGAAGATGTTTTGACATTATATTTAAGGAAAGAAGCTTCGTCTCTTTTACAGTTGTAAAAAAATATCTGCTTCTCGCGCTTAAAGCAAAGACGGTGACGAAGTCTATCAGGATTCCGGCTAGCGAAGTCACAACTTCAACCAAGTTTATCATCTGAAAAAAATAAATGATTGTCTGAAGTTAGAAAAGTCTTCTCTAGATCAATTATAGGTCTCCCTGTGGAATGAATTTAATGATGTTTTTTTTTCCGCGTACCGCTTCAACAAAGCGCGGCATCTCTTCAGTCTCAGGTCCATTAGACGAGCATTCAAACGATGTCCTGTTTTCCTTCGATAAGCCCGAAGGCCTAAGTCTTCATTTAACACCCTTTTCAACGTGGTTCTGCTTAACCCCATCTGAAGGGACAACAGTTTCTGCTTACGTTTAGGATTTCTTTGAATTCGCGCCTTTACAGCTTTTATCTCTGCTGGAGTCCTAACAGACCAAGGGCGACCACTTCTTGACCTGTCATCTACACTAGAGTCTTCATTGTCTCGTTTGATGGTACGATAAACGAATCTTTTGGTTATATTGAAATATTTTAGTAGGGTGACTGATCCAATTATCAGCACTTTAAGAGTTAGTCCAAACTTAAGCCCGTTTATCACATTGAAAAATGCTGTTTCACCCGTTATGACGAGTTTTCTAGTTTCAATATTCAATCAGTAAGATGATTATTTAAAAAATATTTTTTATATTTAGGTATCCATTTTTTTAGATGGACAAGAGTAAATAATGACCATCTTACCATTTAATAGCACCATCACCACCATTTAATAGCATAGAGTGAGTCAATTAACAGCACTATGATAGTGGTATTGAAATTATATGAAATAAAAAATGTTATTAGTACCTATAATCTCTTTAATTGACTTATTTTAATATAGGTGGGTAATGTGTGACTCAGGATCAAAAAAAATATTTGACAACAATCTAATTGTATTTATAAACTTAACAAAGTTTCGTATTATTATCATGTATTATGATAATGTCTCTTGTGTTTTGTTAGCTTTTATCTCTTTTATTTTGTTTTTTCTATTGTATCTTGTATTTTATTTTCTATTGTCCCTTTTATTGTATTGTCTTTTTTCTCCTGTATTTTATTAGCTTTTTTCTCTTGTTTTTTAATAGCGGTTTCTACTTTTGCGTTATTTTTTCGTGTTGTTCAGTAATCTGTTTTTCTTATGAGTCGCCTGTTCTTCTTCTTTAGGTTGTTTAGTTTTTAATTTGTTGTTTTCAGTCTTTTTCCATTCAGCTGAAGTAAGAACAAATGATGATCTCTCTACATTTTTAACACCTTTTCGTTCAGGCGTTTTTTTCCGTAACCAATACGTCCTGTAATTTTACTGCAGTTAGTAAATATTGTTTAATCTGACTGGAGTTGGTAAATATTGTTGACTATCAAGACATAAAAATTGCGCACTTCCAAGACAATATTCAGTATAATGAACCATCAGATGGTTCGTTAGTGGTTGCAGAGATCATAGCTTGCATTTCATCTACAAAATCTTATGCTAATATTACTGGAAATTGATCAATTTTGAGAAATTTGATAACAGCTTCCTGGGATGTGGAAGTTGTGGACGCATCAGTTTGATCATCGAAATAACAACAAATCTTCTTTAAAATCCTTTCTGTTTCTATTAGACTCTCAAGCGGCGTTCTTTGCAGAAATGTAGGTACATTTTTCTTGCCCTACAATCTTTTCTAAAGTTTCACGTGTCATAACTCTATCTTCATTACAATCTTCTTGTAATTTTTATTTGTCTTGTTTTGGTTCTTTATCATGTTTATTTCCTTTACCCAGACATTTTTTGTAGTTGATGGCTTCAAAGTTACAGGGACATAAGCCAATAGTCCTGAATCCATTTATCACTGTTGTATCTTTGACGCCAACCTCTAAAGCCTCTATAAGACCAGGTACAAAATCATTCTTTGTGAGAGTCTCCAAAGGGTAATCTCTCCTCCATTTTACTTTCCTTCCATGCATTTTTGAGAGGTCTAAAAGCTGACATGTGTCGGCTGGCTTTAGAGCAATCAAAATAATGTCCAACTTGCTGCACAATTTATTCACTTCAAGACTAAGATGTGTTTTGTGTCCATCTACAAATAGTATGATGTGAAATGAATGAAATACATTCTTGATATAATCATAGAAAAAATCACATTTCATCTAGCCAGTACAGCTTAAACCAATGCCCCTCTCATTTGGGACTGATGATTTTTTATCATTGGGAAACCTCTTGTTGGGAAAAAGAACTAGTGGAGGTGTAATATCTCCGTTGGCGCAAAACGTAAACAGTACAATAAAGACAGTTTTGGCTGCAGCGTGATCAACTTCATATACGTCTCTTTCTCCTCGTAATGAAATGATTTTGCCACTCTTAGGATATAACTGAAAGTTAGATTCGTCCCCATTAAAAACACGAGACGGGTTCTGGTAGATGTTAAAGTAGTTGTTTTCCTTAGGACAAAACTCAAAATTGTGGAACCACCTTTTTGTGTCTTCTTCTGATACATTAGCACTGACTGATATTACAGTTTCGGCAATGCGT